GCGATGGCAGAACTCGAAGCACTCTGACTGCTTGTGTGGGAGGGGCCAGTCCAAAGCCGGCTGGAAGCTGAGGCTGGATTCATATGTGACAGAGAGAGCATAGGAGTTCAGATCTGTAAGGGCTGAGAGCAAAGGAATAACACTTAAAAGGTAGTGTTGGGACAGATGGACGGACAGGCAGGAGACAATGAATAGTCCCGAGGTGGCTTTGAAGGATTGTCAATCATAAATATTTCCTGGGGATGAATTTTTTATTAAGTAGTCAGTGTAAACACAGAGATAGAAAAACCCTAAGTGAAGACCTGGGATGGTGCCCCAGTCAGCTTTAACAGTCAAAGTGACACACCCTAAAGTCACCTGAGAAGAGACCTTCAATTGAGGGATCGCCTAGACACCTAGGCCAGACTGGACTGTGGGCGGTCTGTGAGGGAGTGTCTCGCGAAGAGGGAGGGCGTACCTCACTGTGAATGGTGCTTTCCCTAGACAGACAGTCGCGAACTAAGAAAGCTAGCTGGGAACAAGCCGGCCTCTGAGCTAGCTAGCAAGAAGCGGCCGCCATCGTTTCTTCTGTGTTTCTTGGCAGCGAATGAGTTCCTTGGTGGGAGGTACTGTGTGTAACAGCAAGCAGGCCAGCCTCTAAGTCCCCGCCTCGACTTCCTGTAAGTTCCAAGGGACTATGATCTGGAAGTAAGCCCAGGGAACCCTCTCCTTCCTAAATCACTTTTGGTCAGATGTTTTTGTCACTGCCTCAGAGATAAACCCAGAGAGAAGGGAATGAAGGGACACGTCCTAGTGGAGTTGGGTTTTGAAGGATTAATCAGGATTTGCCAAACTCCCTTCTGTGTGGAAATGCTCTATCTTTAGAAATATACGTATGAACGTGTGTGTAAAACTTGGACCACCAGGCCCCCACTGCCACAGGCAGCCGTGGTCCTTGCCCCTGGCGTGGTAGTGACTGTGCACGGTCTGCCAACATGCATGCCTCAAGGAAATGAAGAACATGGCGATCACAGGACCTACTCCAGGGCTGTTGGAAGAGTTGGAATATTGTAAGGAGAAGGTAGTAGTAACTAGATGTCAGCAAGGCATGGTGAGACCTGTGTATGACGATGTCATCATGCAGCCCATTATTTTGTGCACCAACTAAGATTTTTAATAAAGATAAATATCAACATATTGAAAGAAAAAGGTAACACAAGAGTTCAGTGCTAGGAGCCCCCCCATGGTGAGCTGGGAGCCCCTCCATGGTGTCCTAGGAGAGCCCCCATGATGAGCTGAGAGCCCCTCCATGGTGAGCTGGGGAGCCCCTCCATGGTGAGCTGGGAGCCCCTCCATGGTGAGCTAGGGAGCCCCCACGGTGAGTAGGATCCCCCAAGTCCCCCACACTCCCCGCACCCCCATTCCTGCTTCCTACAGCTGCTGGCAGACCCCTGTAACTCAGGAAACACGCTTCCACCCTTCCTCCCTCTGCCTCCCTCTTCCAGCAGCTCACATTACCTGCCCTGCTGTTCGTTATCAAACTCTTTGTTTTCAAACTCCAATAAAATGTCGCTAGGGCTCAGGCAGGGGAAAGAGTTCAAAGTGTGGGGTGGTCCTAGTTTGCTTTCTGTCACGCGATAAATGCCAGGACCCAGAGCAACTCGGGATGGGAAGGGTTTATTTTAGCTTACACTTCTAGGTCATAGTCCATCCTTGAGGGGAGTCAGGGCAGGAACCTGGAGCAGAAACCATGGAGGAAAAAGCCTGCCCCCTCCCCACCTCCTATACACCTAAACTAGCTTTCTTTTTCTTTCTTTTTTTTATTTATTTGGTTTTTCGAGACAGGGTTTCTCTGTGGTTTTGGAGCCTGTCCTGGAACTAGCTTTTGTAGACCAGGCTGGTCTCGAACTCACAGAGATCTGCCTGCCTCTGCCTCCCAAGTACTGGGATTAAAGGCATGCGCCACCACCGCCCGGCCTAAACTAGCTTTCTTAAACAGCATACCTACCTAGGGATAGTGCTGCCCATGGTGGGTTGGACTCTCCCACGACAATCATTAAGATAACCTCTCACTGATTGGCCACTGGCCAATCTGATCTGAGCCATTTTTCTGCTAAAGTTCCCTAAGATGATCTTGTCCCCGGAAAGGGTGGGGAAGGACCCTACGGACCAACAGAACTACAATTCATAGTGTGGATACGAGGGAGCTGGGGGTCATTTTTCAAAAGTCTAGGCTACCCTTCCCTACCTCCTCACATGGCGGCTGTCTCAGATCTCTGTAGAAAGCAGGGTGAGATCCTTGGGGGATGGTCACAGCTCCCCTCCAAAGCAGGACTGCCCTGTTTGCCAGCCTCTTTCCTGGAGAGTTTAATTTCCTACAAGAAAGCAGACAGGACAGCTGCCCCCAGACAAACAAGCTAAGGGCCAATCAGACTGCTCAGAGGATGACCACCTGAGTTCCAATCCCAGAACCCACAGAGAGGGGAGTGCAGCATGACTCCTAAAAGCTGACCTCTGACCTTCATACATGCACCGTGGCACAAGTGCCCAGCATATGCACACACACAAATAAATGAACAAAATGTAAAGTTAATGAAGTAACTGATTACCAAGAAATAGGTTAAAGCCCTAAAAACTTTAAAAAGGACCCCTGGGGATCATCTTTGATTTTTATCAGGAAGGAAGGTGTGGCCCAGTGGGAAAGGCCCACTTCACAGTGCTCCCTGCTGTAGGGTGCTGCAGGGGTCTTGAACATCCCTGTGTTGATGATTTGATCCCAGAGTGTTTTACCCTAAAGGCAGGAGTTGACAGAGACCCCCTTCTCTTGTGTACATGGTCATTAGCAGACATCTTGGAAGTGGGGAGATTAGGGGTCAGTGTGTGGGGAGCTAAGATGCCTGGGTCCTGGTCATCCTGCCCTGAGGAAGCTCTACCTTTGCCGACGCCATGCCCTGGCCCCTCCTTCCATGTCTTCTGTACCGGCCTCTTTGACACAAGCCCCAGAGACTGAGTCAGGAGACTGAGTCAGGCTGGGCCAGAGAGGCAAAGGCGGCTGCTGAGAGGTGTGGCTGGAGCTCACTGCCCCATGGTTGCTGCCCGTCGGGAACAGTCACAGACAGCTAGTGATCACACAGGGGGAACACATGGTGGAAAGGCTGGTTTTACTTTCTTGGGTTCTCCAGCTTGTTTCTGGTTTGTGCAGTACCAGGGGTGGACCCCAGACCTCACCGTGCCAGGAGAGCACACTCCTGTTGGACTCAGGAAATACAAAGGGCCTCTCTTTCAGCAGAGGCCTCTCCCAGTTCTCCAGTCCACACCACAGACACGGTCAGGTGCTGTCTGACATGACTTTCTTCACATCACGCTGCTGAGCATGGTGCCCCATCTCCAAGGGGCATCTCAGAGTCTCCGGCCTGCCGGGAAGTTTCCCCTCACACCCCAAGGAACCACAAACTCTGACAAACACGAGTTCAAGTCTGCGGTTTGCCCAGAAGCTGCCAGCTGCCAAGGGTTTGTTTACCTAGCAACCCTCTTCTCTCTTGACAACAGCAGCCTGGAGCCCAGCTCCGGGATGACAGGTATGGGCGGTGATTTGCCACAGTGGTTTTGGTCTCATCCCGTGGGACAGCCATCTGTCCCTCGGTCCACAGACCCTGCCTCGCCTAACAGGGCTCCTTTGGAACAGACCTCCTTCCTCTCTCCTGCCTCAGTGAGCAAGAGAAAGAGAGGGTTAAGGAGACAGGAATAAGGAGGCTATTCAGGGGCAAGTGACTGGGCATGGGCCTGAGAGGCAAAACTAGAGCCCATTGCTGTCACAGAAGGGAGCAAGGTTGGCCCGGGCTCCTGCCGACAAGCTGTCCTTCCCTGAAGGACACAGCCAAGAGGACATATACCCAGCATACCTTTCTGAGGAAGAGCTCACGCTCTCAGCAAGTGAGCACAGAAGAGACCTAAAAATGATGGAGACCAATCTCGACATCTAACAGATAAAACTGAGGCCCACAATGCCTAGTGACTTGTTTACCATCAGGCAGTGGTCACACACACACGCACACACACACGTGACCTGTCTGTGACTTTCACATTCTCACAAGAATACCCACTGACCTGAGTACACATTTATGTACCAACAAGGGCTCCAGAGATGTCTAGAGCTCGCTCGGTGATTATTACAGCCACCATCTTAGCAATAACTGAGCATGGTCAAGGGCTCACCACAAGTTTCTCATGAATGCCATCCCCAGTCACAGACCACGCTGGGCCTGGGAGGCTTTGTAACTTGTCCAGGTCACTTCAGTTGGGCAGAGGGAAAGGCAGGATTTGCATCCGGGTCCACTGACTGCTCACCTGTGCTCTTAATCACTCCTCCTTAGACAGGACCTGCGGCTGCTCTGCCGTTTTCATCTTCCCTTGCTGGAACCTGGGCCTCAGCAGTAACAGGTGTGTTCCTGGGAGGAGCCAAATGGTCCCCTACCCTGCTGCCAACTCACTGTGTGTATGGAAAGCCACTGATCAACACAGAATCAGCACAAATCCTTTGAGATTATCTGATCCTGAGCAGGTGGCATGGGGGTGTAAGGCTTTTTCTCTGGGCTGCCAGCTCACAAAACAAACAACACAGAGACTTAGTATTAATTATGAAACCTCGCCTTAGCTTGGGCTTGCTCCTAACTAGTTCTTATAGCTTAAATTAACCTGCATCTTCTTCGATGTGACTCCATTACCACCATCTGCACTGCCCATCCTGCTTCCTCTCCATCTGTCAGGCTGGTGACTTCACCTCTCTTCCCCCAGCGCAGTCTCTGTCCAGCAGTCCTGCCTACACCTCCTGCCTTGCTAATGGCCATTCAGCTCTCTTATTAAACCAATCACAATGACACTTCACACAGTATAGAGGAATATTCTGCAACATGGGGGGCGTGAGGGAGGACTGGTGTGGAGTTTGGGGCCAGTCTGGTGCTAGGTACTTCTCTTGAGGTTTCAAAAATGAACATGTTTTCTTTAAAAAAAAAAAAAAAAAAAAAAAAGGGCCAGGCATGGCGGCAATCCCAGGAGGCTGAGGGGCCAGCCTGGGCTATACGGTGAATTCAAGGTCAGGTTAGACTGCAGATTGAGTCTAACCTTGTCTCAAAAATTCAGCCAAACAGAGCCAGCAAGATGGCTCAGTGGTTAAAAGCATTCACTGTAGGGCTCAAGAACTGAGTTTCATTCCCAGGGCTCACAGGGAAGAGGGGGGACTTTGAAATCTATACACATACCACTACCTCTGCCAGTGTGTGTGTGTGTGTGTGTGTGTGTGTGTAACCAAGCAAGCAACCAACCAAGCAAATAAAAACTAGTTACCCTGAGCCCAATGTGCTCAGAAAGAACAATGACCCTGACTAACCCGCAGTACCTGCTTTTGGTAGCTCAGCCCTGTGACATCTGTTGACCAAGGGCTTCATGTCTTTGGAACTTATGATAATAGATGATAACCTGCCACCACCGAATGGAGCAGTACCCGGGATGTCCGGATATCCCAATGCCGTCTGTGATTGGCCTGAGCACGAAAGACGCGGTCATCATCACAGCACAGTGGAGGGTGTCCCACCCTCCACCACAGCACACCTGCCTCTTTGGTGACAGTTGTCACCAGCTAAAATGTTCCTGTGTACGTCTCTCATCAGCGGGCCTAGCAAGAACAAAGAGACCTGGTACTGTCGCCAGAACCTAGGACAGTGCCTCACACAGAAAGAGCACCCAAGAGACTGTGCATAAGGAAATAACAGATCTATAGGCTGTCAGAAGAGACTCAATGGTCTGACTTATAGACTCACACAGAGTGAACTGAGACATCCATGGTGCCTGCTCAGCGCTTATGGACAGAAGTCGCACAGTTACACTGGAGCCTGAGACATGAGGGGTAAGTAGGTGACAGTTCTGAATCGTGATTCAGGTTAAAGGAATGACCTCAAAAGGGAGGGCCTTCAAGGATCAGCACATCCAACATAGACGACACGTCTCATCATCTGTGGGAAATAGATAATGCTCTATCCCCTCAGGTGAGTACAAGACAAACTGTACGTTCTCCTAAACAAACACTGTCCTACAAGAAACAGCAACCCACAAGAGTGTGCAGAGCCTTGCAGACTCCCTTCTGTCACACACACGTGCACGCATACTCACACACACACACACACACACACACACACACACTCACACCTTAGGGCTCGCCGAAACACCAGAACAGTGTGAGTGGCTCTACCCCAGTGGCCGGAAGAGTTTGGCAAAATTGCTTTTTTGTTTTAAGATTGGTTCTTACTGCATAGCCATGGCTGGCTTAGAACTCTGTTTAGACCAGGCTGCCTTCAACTGTGTGGCAATTCTCCTGCCTCTGCCTTTCAAGTGTTTGGTTTATAGGCGAGTGCCACTTCGCCTGGCTGGAAAGTTTGCCTTTTGACCTTGTTGGCTCAAGGGTTATGGCGTCTGGCAAGAGATGCACCTGCCCGTATTCCAGGCATTCCAGAACATTCCAAGGTGAGCCAGACTCTTGTGCTGAGTTCTCTCAGGCTGACTCCGAGGAAGTCTGATAGTCCTGTGCCCTCCCTGTCTTTCAATTAGAAGTTCAACGTCACCCTATTCCTTCTAAGTAGATCCACACCTGCAACTGGCCTGGAACTCCCCGCCCTTCCGCGTTTGGTGCGGTTGTCCAGCCTTTCTCCCGGTGTTGACATTTGCCCTCTTTCTTTCTTACCCCCTCCCAGTATTCCTTCCCAGTATGCTCATGCCCAGAAGACTATTCCAAGTCTTTCCTGGAAGGCTGAAGGGCTCAGAGGTGAGCCATAGGCTGGCAGGAAGCTGCCCTGTGGGTCCTTAACAACCACTGTCCCCTGGGTGCCTGTGAGTCCCTCCCCTTTCCGTATTATAGTGGGCTCCCCGGCGAGTCCCCACTGGGCTGAATTTCCTCTCATTGTTTCCTTCCAGTTCTTTGTTCTAATTCAGTTACCCAGCTCTGGTCAGTCATAGATACTTAATGGAGGCCAAGTAACCAAGCCAATGGGCAGAGTTAGGAAGAAACTGCAACAGTTTCCTGCTTACCCTCTGGTAAGCTAGTCTCACATCTGGCGGAGACCCAGGCAGGGCCTCGGAAGGGGTTCTGGTTTCCAGAATACAGAGCCAAGGCCTGTAAACAGCCTCATGGGCAAAAGAGCAGGAAAACGAGGCACGTGGTCGATATCTTGCGTGTAGGAGCAGGACCCAGGACCGTCCAGAGGTGAATGGCAGATGCCCGAGTGTGCAGGCTGACTTCTGAGAAGCATTGTCTAGGTACCTGTGAAGAGCTTGGTGATACCCTGTTGCTGAGATGGATGGATGTTGGGGAACATTTCAAACAGGGGTAGCCAGAAAAGTTTTGTTGTTGTTGTTTGTTTTGATTTTTTGAGACAGGGTTTCTCTGTGGCTTTGGAGTCTGTCCTGGAACTAGCTCTTGTAGACCAGACTGGCCTCAAACTCACAGAGATCCGCCTGTCTCTGCCTCCCGAGTGCTGGGATTAAAGGCGTGCTCCACCACCACCCAGCCCAGAAAAGTTTTACGTCTTGGCTCAAGCCTCTTTCAAGAGAAATGACAGAACCCAGCTCAGGAAAAGGTCCTGGCAGGGACAGGGTTGTCCACTGCCTCCCAGCCACAACCTTGGCACATCAGCCACTTACTCCTAGTAATGACCCTAGACGAGGGGCTACAGGTTTGTCTCAGTCAGAAGTCGAACACTGGTCTAGAATGAGGGGGGACCTGGTAGTAGCAAGAGAACTTGGGGATCCCAAGCAGTGCCAAAAAAATAAGAGCAAACAGCAACAGCAGCAAACACACAAGGACGTCGCAGTTTTGTTCCGATTTACGAAGTCACTGAGTCACCGGCCCAAAATGGCATAGGTTGACAAGTTTGGATTAAAACCCAGCAGTGTGGCTGTCCTGCTTCCCATGTCTTCGTGTCCCTAGAGATGGAGAAAGACAAAAAAAGGGTTGTGCAATGATTTATTCAGAGCAAGAGATAGGAAGGCAGAGCAGGTGTGCCTCAGAAGCAGGAGAGGGGACGCCTCCGGTCCGGTCTTTCCTCACTGTCCTCTGTGGGCGGATTTGTTCTTGCTTCCCACACGTAACCGGAAACCTGGCTCCTGACAGCTCCAAAGCTACTTTAAGCCTCCGTGGAAAACAAACTCCCTCTATCTGTGCTTCCTAGTGAAGCTATTTCCAGAAGAGGATTCTGGGTAGCTTGCTGGGTTAAGGCTCACTCCTAGGCAGCCTGTCTGGGGAGGGGAGAGACCTTCTAGATGGTGGGTCCCACTCAGATTCTTGGCAAGGGGGCGCCAGTTCCTGAGGTGGTGAGTAGAAGCCCTTTTGTGGGTACTCAGTCCTCAGAGCCACAGACTGACTGAGCTCCACAGGTGGGAGGTTATGCAGTTGGGGGCCATAAAGGCAGGGGGAGGAACTGGGTTACTCTGAAAGGACGGGAGAGTGGGAGGGAACGGAAGTCAGAGGGGACACTCGTGACCAAGGTCAGGCTGAGGACGGGTGAGTGGAGGGGTTTCCTGATGTGGGAGTGTCATATATCAATCTGTTGATTTCATTGGTTAAGTAATAAACACACTGCTTGGCCTCATAGGTTAAAGCATAGGTGGGTGGAATAAACAGAATAGGATGCTGGGTGGAAGAGGAAGTGAGGTCAGACTCTGCTCTGCTTCCAGAGGGACCAGAAAGGCTCTGCTCTCTGGAGCAGAGACACCATGATGGACGGAGGCTAGAATCTTCCCGGTAAGCGCACCTTGGGGTGCTTACACAGATGATTAGAAATGGGCTAAATTAATATGTGAGAATTAGCCTAGAAGAGGCTAGATAGAAATGGGTCAAGCAGTTAAATGAATACAGTTTGTGTGTTGTTATTTCGGGCATGAGCTAGCCAAGAGGCTGGGGTGTTGGGGACGCAGCCCCGCCGCTTCTTATTTCAACAGTTTCCAGGTGGAGTGAGGCTCCAAAGGGGGTCATTACCTTGCTCTGCTTGCTGAAATGACAGCGTGGCTGGACAAGGTGGCCCCCAGTGCCACGCGATGCTGGAGACGCTGCTCTCGAAATTCCATCTGAGGTCAAGGTGAGCAAGTTTTAGGCCAGCCTGGGCTACATGAGACCCTGTTTTCTTAAAATCTAAAAATAAAATAGAAATAAGTAAGATGTCAGTATCCATAAAATTTCAGGATTATCTCCTGAAATTAACATTAATACTATAATGCTGTATTTAAATCCTGAAAATAGAATATTATTTATTGTTTAGCATGGGTTGTAAGATCTGGACTGGGGTCTGGCAGCTGGGAGTTTGTCCTGGGACTACCGTCCCCCAGGGCATGAACACACTAGGGGGCCAACACACTAGTACTTCCTGGGCAAGGCAGGCGCTCCTGTCCACGTGGCTCCCTCTGCATGGAGGCTTTGAAAACCCAGCCTCTCCTGCACTGGCTTGGGCTCTGATGGTCTAATTGCAGACAGGTGAACCGAAGGCTTTCTCCCTGCGAACGATCCGCCTCAGAAGCGAAGCAAGACTGACTTCAGTCCTGTGTGCTTGGTTACAAGGTACTCTGTTGGGAGCTGTGAACCCCACAAGTCCTGAATTTCTGGTAAACAACTTGTAATGCTTGCAGCTGCTCTAAGCACGAGACCCTCAGGCGTTCCTGATGGCAGGAGAGTGGTTTCTGGTGGGTTTGGCTGGGGCGTGGCTATCAGTTAAAGATCCCTATATAAGCCGCCCCTCAACACAATAAAGGGGGCATTTTGGGGCATTCCTGTTTCAAGCATGACCCGTGCCTCTGTCTGTGAGTCTTTGTGTGTTTCAGTCTCCAGCCCCTTGCCCAGTTCACGAACTGTATGGTAGTGCATGGAGCACAGACGGACGTGGTGCGCTACAGTGCTCTTCTTTTTTAATTTACATTTTTAGAATTTTTGCACACAGAGAGGGGCCTGTGCCCCCATCCGTACGTGGAGGTCAGAGGGCAGGCGACTTGTAGGAGTTGGTTCTGTCCTTCCGCGATGGCCAAGCTTTAGCTGTTGCACCATCTCAGTCCTGTGCTGTGTTCTCTTTCGCTTTCAGACCACAAAGCGAGCGGTTTTCTGTGCCGCGCACTCATTGCCTTCACCTTGGGCGCCTCTACCAGAGGCCCACAAACAACCATTCTGCATCTAAAACCATGAATCCAAAATACACCTTTTCTCTTTATAAGCTAATTACCTCGGGTACTCTGTTTCAGAGAAGGAAAGCCTGCTGACAGAGGCAATGAAGGGCCATCCCCCAGCTGTCTCTAGAGGGGCCACTCATGCAACACCACAGAGGGCCACACGGGATGGGTGCCTATTGGCGTGGCCAACCTCAGAGAACATGTCTACCCACGACTCCCCACAGTGCCGTGATTCAGAAGCCAGAAAGGAACCAGGGTGGCACGGCTTCCTCCCAGGGTCCCAGGGTGTGCTTCTCTGCCGCTGTGAGTCACGCAATGGAGTAAGTGAAGTGGACAGCCACGGTCCCTCTTGCACACTGCCCTTCCCCTTGGCACACCAGTAGCTTTTCAGCTCCTTCTCCAGGCACTGACAAATGCGTATTTGAGTGTGAACAGACGGGACGTCTTCTGCTTGCCCTCCAGGCTCACACTCACCCTAGCTGCCCAGGGAGGCTGTCCTACACCAACTTGGCTCCTTTGCCCTCTGGACTCCAGGCAGGGTTGGCAAATCGGGAGCACTAGGCAGTGGTGGAGAGAGAGGGAGGCTTGTTAGGCTCCTCTCCCCTTCACTGGCTGTCTAAAGTGAGTGACTGTGACCCTCTACTGAGGGGTTCAACACCCGGGAGTTGCCCCTCTGCACAGCTCCCCCGTCCCTGGGTTCTAGCATGTGATAATGGAGCCTCATGGGTACTATGCTGTACCTGTGTGTTTCCTATAGCCAGCCCGGAATCTATAAATATTCCTTTTACTAAACTTTCCTCAAACTGCTCAGTGTCCCCCTCCCTGGGCAATGTGTCCAAGTGTACGACTGGGTATAATGTACACTCACGGTTTTTGTTTGTTTTCTTCATGATGCAGGGGAGTGGACTCAAGGCCATGTACGTACCAGGCAAACTGTCCACGGTGTGTCCTTACTTATAAAGTGTATGTGCATATGGTTTTCTATTGTTTCATTGTGTCTTTCCTCATCAGCAAATACAAGATCCAACTTATTTCTTTTAATATTTGCTTGTACCTACTAGAGAGCGTGTGTCCCAGCTTGTATGACCTTCTCCAAGTGATGGACATATAGGGGGTTGCCAACATTTGCCCTGAGTAAACATATGTGTATGTGTATATTATATTATATATATATATATGCGTTATATTCATGTGAGTCTTATCTGAGTTGGGCTTCACTGGGACAAATTCCTAATCAACCCCAAAGGCTGAACGATGCTCCTGGAGCCACATCGCATTGGATTTAAATCCTACCTTCTCACTGGACACAGTGATGCACACATGAAACCCCAGCACTTGGGAGGTATGTGTAGGATGATCAAGAGTTGAAGTCATTCTCAGTTACATAGTGAATCGGAAGCCAGCCTGGTCTACATGAAACCTGCCTTTCCCTGTCTCCTCTAGTGGAGGGCCACAGATTCTGGCTTTACTTAGCCCCTCACACCTGCCCCCATCAACTGTGTATCAAACTATGACAGCACCTTCTCCAGCGCAGTTGAGAGGGACCATCAAAGAGCCAGACGTGTAAGCACGCAAGCCGTGTCCACCCTCTGGCTCCTCCAACCATCTCAGGTTCAGTTTCTCTACCTGTTGGGTTGAGGTGTTGCTTCCCTGGTGGAGAGGTTCTGAGGATGAAGAGCCTAAGGTTGTAAAATTTAAATGAAGCAACTGGAACAAAGTGCTCGCTTGGCACACCTGACGTAGCTGGAGTTTCCTTCCGCAGGCAGTAGCTTGTGCTATTGCTGCTCATAGGCTCCACCACGCTTCATGTTTTATTACAGGTATTAAGATTGCTATAACCTTTATAGAAGTTATGGTTTATGTTGATTGTGGTTCTTAACAGCTGGCATTATTTGCTCAGCGTAATCTAGGTATAAGATTTCACTTAAATAGACCCTGTAGGTGTAGAAATGTACACAGAACCACAGTTTATTAATTTGTTCCTTGTTATTTTCTGTTGGGGAAATGAACAGAAGTGCTTCCCTCGGCTGCAATGTGTATTTGGGGCCTTGCAGGCAAATGGATCTCTTGGTAGTGGGGTTTCTTTTCGGACTGGTTTTGGCTTTTTGAGACAGGGTTTCTCTGTGTAGCCCTGGTTGTCTTGGAACCCACTCTGTAGATCTGCCTGCCTCTGCCTGCCGAGTGCTGAGATTAAAGGTGTGAACCCAGACACCAGGCCTTTATTTTTATTTAGTGAATGTCTCTATCTATGGGAGTCTAGGCAGGGGTGTGCCAGTACCTGTGGAGACCAGAAAAGGGTGTCAGATACCCCGGAGCTGGAGTTATGGACGGTTGTGGGTGGAACCAGACTCAAGCCCTCTGGAAGGGCAGAAAACACTCTTAACCACTAAGCCATTCCTTCAACTCACTTTGACATATTTGTTTGTTCTCTGTGTGTGTGTGCACACACAACCTACAAACATGCATGTCACAGCGAACATGTGGAGATCAGAGGAGAGCTAGTAGAAGTTAGTTCTCACCTTCTGTCCTGTGGGTCAAGGGGATTGAACTTAAATACACAGGCTTGGTGGCAAGTGTCTTAACCCACTGAGTCATATCGCCGGCCCGAGCAAGGACCGCTTTGATGATTCTTTCTATAAAAATGGACACTCATAGTTTTGCTTCCCTCTATCTGGCTGTCTTGAATAACACATATATCTGCTCCTCCTATCAGCCTCAGCCCTGTGAGACCTGGCTGAGGACACGAGGGGAGGAGACCTGTCTGGCATCCTTGAACCCTGGGAACTGCACATATTAGGGTGGCATTAATGCCATGGGCTGTTGGGGATTGCCTTGTGAACAAGGTGAAGTATTTGTGGGGGCTTCAAATGAACCAGGGAGGGAATTATTACTGTTAGAAGGAAGCCTATATTTTTCAGAATCATGCCTCCAACAGAAACCTACTAATTTTGGGAGAATTTTGTTTGCTTGGTTGGGTGGGTGGGTGGTTGGTTTGTTGTTGTTTTTTGTTTTTGTTTTAGGTTTTTGTTTTTTTTTCTTTTATTTTTAAGACAGGATTTCTCTGTGTAGCCTTGGCTGTCCTGGAACTCACTCAGTAGACCAGGCTGACCTCAAACTCAGAGATCCACCTGTCTCTGTCTCCCAAGTGCTGGGATTAAAGAAAGGCACCACCACCACCCGGCAAGACCTATTAGTTTTAACCACAGCTGTGACCATAAATCCAGAGACCTGCAAACATATTGCTTAACACCGTCTGTCAGGACCCAGGCTGTCTGCAAACCTTTTCATAGAACTTCAGTCTGTTTAGGCTAGCATCCCAGGCCAGGGTTCCCGTCCAGACAACACTGACCAGGAAGCAACAGGCATGAGAACGCAGTGCACTGCCCACTAGGGTAAAAGCCACTGGGCCAGATGTCTCCCCACGTGGACTGCGGAGTGGAGTAAGGCAGGGGGCGGGGTAATGTCCACCTTACCTTGTCCCTGGCACACAGCGAGGCCTGCTCTGCAAGGCTGTTTGCCCTGAGAAACTGGGAACAGGCCAAAGGATACCCAGACCGGCACAAACGGGTAACAGGATCCTGCAGCTCAGCCCTCTGGTGGTGGAAGCTGCTTTCCTTCCAGTTGGTTCTGGTAGCTTCCAAGCTCTGGTGTGCATTAACCCCCCTGACAAGAAGGAGTGTAGGAAGTGAGAGAGGCAGATTCCCAGGCCCATACTCAAAATTCTGAGGCTGGGGGAGAAACTCCTTATCAAAGAAGTGACAGGTGATTCAGATCACAGGTTAGTGGCCAGATCCCTCAAACAGATGTCATTAAAATACAGCCATTAGAGGTCAGGAAAGATAAGCCCATTGGCATAACAGTGGTAAGGAACTGAGAGGTAGCCACAGCTCTCTGACCAAATTGATGCCCACTCCTCATAACTGCAAAAGTATTATGAGATACCTATTGGATGTCCAGCCATAAACGGGTTGTCTGCATCACCCCCTCAGGAGAAAGGATGGAAGAAGCAGAGGAGGTGAGAGGAGCTGTGGATCGCTGGTCTCCAGACATGGCATGGCTAGTGTACTCTGAGACTCATGGCTGAGACAGCCTGCCCAAGATCTCCCTGAGACAGGGTCCACCAACACCTGCAAAAGATAGGAGAAGTTCATGGGACCCACTGCTCCTGAGGGGTTTATATACGGCTAAGGGTTAATGGAAGAGGGAAAATAGCTCTCCTCAATAGTGTAAACGCCACTGATCAAATGTCCATTGTTGCTTCTGTGAACAGCCTTAACGAAACTCGCAGAAACACACAGGCACGCGCGCGCACACGCACACACACACACACACACACACACACACACACAAATGTACACACACCCTAAGTCAGACCCCAACAGCCCTGGATCTGCGGCCCAGCTGAGCTTCCCCAGCTGCAAGTCAGGCGGCGGCACCTCCTCCAATGTCTCCTTTCCTGTCTCTACTCTCCTATGTTGTCCCTGCTGGAACCGAGCTGCCTTGAGAGCAGGCCTCTGCTATGTCCTCTGCAGCCTAGAGCGCCTGGCATGATGCCCAGCACACAGTGACATTATTTTGTTCCTACTAAATTAACTAATACAGGTAAATAAAATGCTTTCTAATGGAGGAGTGAAACTTGGAAACACAGGGATTGCTTAGCAGGTCCAAGGCCCTGGTCTGATCCCAAGTGCTGCAAAGAATACCAAGAAGCAGTGGGTGTCAGTGAGGGTACGGAGGGACTGGGACCGCATGCTTTGCTCCTGGGATTAAATAGTTCAACTGCTTTGGAAATCAGTGAAGCAAATCATCAAAACATTAAATGTAGAGTCACCACATGACGCCCGGTAGTTCCCTGTTAAATGTAGACCATGACGAATGAAATTGGACTTTCAAGAAAAGATTTGCACACAAAACATGGCAACATGTAAAGGTATTTACCACACAAGCCTGTCAACCTGAGTCCAATCCGTGGAAGGAGAGAACTGACTCCTGATCTCTAACCTCTGACCACCACATATGCACCATGGCATGTCATCACCCACACACACCAAAAATAAATCAATGATAAAAATGTACTAAATACATAAAGTAAATTCATATAATTCTCTTATGTTTTGTAATCTCTTAACAACATTATTCATAATAGCCAAAAGATAAAACCAACCAAATGTCCATCAAGGCTGGATGGACAAACATGATATGGTTCCTCCAGTGACACAGTAGTCAGTTAGAAAATGGGATGAGTGTGACTACAAGCCATGGCAGAGATTATGTCAAGTGAAAGAAGCTATATGCTGCTTGATAAATAAAAAATACCAGAATAGGGATGTTATTGTAACTATGTAAAAATGTGTTACATTTGTGTATAACATGGAATATTACTGTAACTATGTAAAGGTGTGTTACATTTGTGTATATTGTGGAATGTTACTGTAACTATGTAAAGGTGTGTTACATTTGTGTATATTGTGGAATGTTACTGTAACTATGTAAAGGTGTGTTACATTTGTGTATATTGTGGAGTATTACTGTAACTATGTAAAGATGCGTTACATTTGTGTATATTGTAGAATATTACTGTAACTATGCTACACTTGTTTACGTTGCATTTGTTTAACTATGTAAAGATATGTTGCTGTTTTACCTTTCCTGCCTAAGGCACCTGATTGGTCTAATAAAAAGCTGAATGGCCAATAGCTAGGCAGTAGAGGGATAGGCGGGTCTGGAGGGCAGAGAAATTAAGTAGTAGGAGAAAAAATGAGGCAGAAAAAAAGGGAGATGTCCAGGAGCCAGACAGACAGACACACAGAAAGCAGAAAAGTAATATATACAAAATGAACAAAAAGTAAAAAGCTCAGAGGCAAAATGTAGAGGAAGAGAAATAGGTTAATTTCAGTTATAAGAGCTAGTGGGACAAGCATACAATAAAGTTGAACATTCATAACTAATAATGAGTCTCAGTGTCATGATTTGGGGGCTGGTGGGGGCACAAGAAAGCCCACTACAGTTCTGGGAAGTTAAAGGACCTGGGTCATCTGGTTTGTATGGCAAGTGCTTTTAGCCACAGAGCCATGGTACTTTTGTTATAATACCCTCTTACTTTGCTTCCTGTTGCCCTGATAAAACACCATGCCCAAAAGTGACTCGGATTTATTTCCCCGTGCGACTTATGGCCCAGCTCCTCATGAAGGGAAGCTGGGGCAGGAGCTCAAAACCCTTCTGGGGGTTACTTCTCACCTCTTGCTCAACCTGCATTCTTATACCACTCAGGGTCGCTGGCCCAGACATGGCACCGCCCCCAGCAGGCTGGACCCGACCGCATCAGACTGGCAATCTGATGGAGCCCCTCTTCTCAGATGGCTCCAGCTTGTGTCAAGTTGACAGAAACCAACTAACTCGGACAAATACCCAACCTGACCAAGACAGAGCCCTGTCTTTTTCTGAGGGATTTGGCAGTAGAAGCTGGTGTCGAGTTTCCTGTCGATGTTGTAACAAACAACCACAGACTGCATGGTTAAAACTATAGAACTTTGTCTGTGTGCTGGAGCCAGAAACCAAAAGTCTAAGTGCCAGCAGGGCCCCTTCCATCCTGCTGAGCGTCCGTGACTCCAGGCCACCCCTGCTTCACCGTGGCTTAGCTCACTCTGCCTCGCTATTTCTCCTGCACTGCTCTTGTAAGGACCCGCGACACTAGACTTAACACTCATCCAGAGAACTTGGGGTGACCTCAGTTTGAACTTAATTATATCTGCAGAGACCTTTTCCAGAATAAGGTCTCAGCCACAGGTTTGGGGGGGAGGGGTCAGAACAAGGGAGGCTCCACCAGAGACCTGAGCCCCTGGCTCTGTGCTGTGTGGACCCAAACACCTTCATGGAATTCTTTGCACCTATAGTAAGGAACACTGTGTCTCACAAGAGGCTGCCCCTACCCTCTATTCTAGCCGGTGGCAACAGTGTTCCTTCCCCCTTGGAAGCCCTTGGTGGGTCACGGGCATTCTCAGGCTGTTTTCCATGTGACCCTTCCAAACATCTGTCTCCCATTGTCATCACCTGGCCAGGTGGATCTCCTCAGCCAGGCTGCTGAGGCTGTGGAAGAGCAGAGTGCCTGGCAGAGGTTGGGCTGAGTAAGGGGAAGGCAAGCAAAGCAGAGGCGGCAGTCACATGGTCGCGCGAGGAACAGTTACAGTCCTATGTCATGACTGATGGCCTAATCCCCACAGCACCCCCTCCCCTGCCAGGCAGCTGGTGCTCAGAACCCCACTTTGGAGGTGAAAGGTGTGGGGGGGGGAGAATTAAGTAAGACTTCTGTTTTAGTTAGGGTTTTTATTGCTGTAAAGAGGCATCATGATCATGGCAACACTTATAAAGGAAAACATTTAATTGGGGTGGCTCACTTAAAGTTTCAGAGGTTCAACCATTATCATCATGGTGGGGAGCATGGTGGTGTGCAGGCAGACATGGTGCTGGAGCTGACAGTCCTACATCTTGACTCAGAAGCAACAGGAAGTTGACTGACTGTCACACTGAGAGAAGCCTAAGAAAAGAAATCTCAAAGCCCGCCCACATAGTGACACACTTCTTCCAAGGCCACACCTCCTAATAGTACCACTCCCTTTGGGGGATATTTTCTTTCAAACCAGCAGTTTCTGAGTCTGATAAGCTTCAGAGGTGGGATTTGAACTCTGGAAAACCTGGCTCTAAAATTCACTTTGTAAAAAGAGGCACTGTGCTGGGTGGTGGTGGCACATGCCTTTAATCCCAGCACTGGGTTGAGGGGGGGTGCTGCAGAGGTAGGTGGATCTCTGTGAGTTCAAGACCAGCCTGGTCTACACAGTGAGCTCCAGGACAGGCTCCAAAGCTCCACAGAGAAATCTTGTCTGGAGAGAGGGGGAAGAGAAGTCATTGTGTGGGCAGAGTGTTTCAAGAGACTGGGAAGAGCTGCAGCATGTTAAAAATGTTACTTAGTCACAGCTCAACCTGTGAGGTGCTGGAGGGCTAGCCCTGTGGCCTGCATGCCTTTGGTTAGACCCTGAGCAGACAAGGGGGTGGGGGGATGGGCTGACTTCTATTACCGTATCATGTATCCATCTTCCCAGGCAAATATCTACCCCAAGGCTGTGATTAGTAGCCCTTGAGCCTGCTCCCTCTCCCTCCTTAGGCACCCAACCCTGTCTCTGATTCTCTTGGCACACGTGCAGAACTTCTGGAAAGTCTCCTGTGGGAGATGGTTTAGAGGTGACAGGGGACGTTGTCACCTCAGACAATGTGAGAGAATCCCTAGGCAAGAAAGACGGGTGAGCAAAACTTGACCCTTCTGTTGTGAGGCAGGGTCGACCTCTTGAATCCGGTTTTTGGGTGAGGTACAACGAAGGCCAAAATCTCATCCAACCATAGCCAACCACATAGACAAGACCTATGGGGTTGGTCCTCAGCCTGCCAGGGTTTCTCAAATGAGACTCCACAAGGGTGGAGATGGGGGACAGACACCCGCACACCAAACCCCTGAAGCCTCATCCACACAGTGCACCAGGCTCAGAGCCGGAGAGACAGGGTCACTGGCATAAACACACAAGTAGAGCTGGTTCTTCTCAGCATGAGTTTCTAGTGGGAATTTCACAGATAAAGACCAACCTGCAGAAGCAGAGGAGCAACAGGGAACACGACTATATAACCTTAAAACCTGCCAGGGCTGACCGGAGCTATTTCCTTTTGAGGGAAGGAAGGCAGGGTTTCCCTGAGCAGCAAAGAGTAATGGAACAGGTCCAGCTTTAGTGTTGGGGTGACCTGCAAGGGACTTCTCATCACTCCTTAAGCACAGAAAGCGCCCCCCAACTTCTTTGAGTCTATAAAAATGGGCCCAAGAGCATCCCCACCAAGGTAAAGAGCTTAGAAGGCACCTTCCCTTTCTTCTTTCCCTTCTGAGGCTTTCGGGAAGCCTCCCAGGAAGGCCTGCCCCTGGCTCTCACCCTCCCCTTGGACCCAGGGGCAGCGCAGCGAGGGCAGGGAGGCCCAGAGCACCTGCCCCTACGGAGCTGGAGTTGTCCCATAGAAGCTGTGCTCCTGTCTTCTCCCTGGCTCCCAGGAGCAGCTGCCCACACAACCCCTCTACAGATAAACAAATGACCAGTCACCCTGCTAATCCCCCTGTACTGGTACTTCAGCCTGGCAGCCCCCCCCCCGCCAGCCCCCACCCCGGGAGTTTTCCATGACCTCAGCTCTGGAGAATGTGGGGGAATTTAGTACAGGGAAGGGCTGGACAGCTGGGCCTGAAGGGAAGGTCAGGCCAGGCTTTGGAGTTTACTGGGCCAGCGGAGATGTGGATCAATGTCACTAAACTCCCAGGTGGCAAGGCAGGCCCATCAGGTCCCAGGGAGCCAGGCAGACCTGTGATTGGGCCCTGGTGTGTTTGCCAGTGTTACCCCATACAGCCTGGTGGCTCCCGCATTGATTGTCAGATGCCCCATTCCTGGGCTCCCATAATCCTCTTGTCGGACTTGTCTACAAGTTGTTTTGAAGGCATCCTACAGCTGCAGTGGGACCTGCCTGCTCCCTACAGGGAGACAGCGCTTTCAGAGGAAGCCTGGGGCTCCAGAGCCTTGAGGCCAGCCTCAGGGGCTTGGGGTCCCCAACAGCTATTTCAACCCCCACTCCTTTGCCTGCCCCACCTCTCAGGTGCATTCAAGAACAGACCTAAGGCGGCCTGTTGAAACAAGGAGAAACATGGGGTGGCTGCTTAAGTTAGATCGTCAGATAAGTAATTTTTTTAGTATCAGCAAACCCCATACAATCTTTGAGATATGTTTTAAAGGGGTCTAAAATTATCTAGACTTCACACTGAATAGGATGCCTGGAACTCCAGGCCCCTGTTTTATGTTTGAGTTCTATAAATGCCCACTTCTCTGCTGATCTGTAGGGAGACATTTAGGAATAAGAGCCCACATCACACATTAATATTCTCCCATTATTATGAAATTAATCCAGTTTTAAAACTCTGGGACATTATTGATTCTTTTGGAAACGTTTCTGCAACTTTTTATTAACTACATATTTCATAGATTACAATAAAGACTTCCCGTAGATAATGTCTTTCTCCTCCTCTTCCTTCTGTGTGTTGGGGAAATGTACTACTACCAAATAGGAAGCGATTCTCCTCTTACCTGATTGTCAAAGCTGTTGAAGGAGAACGTCCTTTGTCTTTCTTGTTTGCTTTAGGCTTTTGTTATCTTTTGTAATCATGTCTAGCTATGTTGCCCAGGTTAGACCCTTCTGGGCTCATGTAATCCTCCTGCCTCATCACCCAAACAGATAGGATTAGAGGTACTTGCCACCATGTCTGGCCCTGTTTCCTGCCTCCACCCCCCCCTTAAAATCTGGGGTCTGGGAGCAGTAGCTCAGTGGAAATGGAGTGTGTGAAAGATGACCTGGGCTACTACACAAACTCTAAGGCCACCGTGCCGACACAGACCTGGTTTCTTTTGGAAAGGTAAGTGCTCTGATGCGGATGCGGAGCTCCCTGCAGTGACAGATGTCCCTGGTGCAAACATAGTCACAAAAGCTGGCTCTGTGCCATGTCTAGGGAGGCTCAAAACCCAGCTCAAACCTCTACAGGCACCAGGAGCTCTTGGCTGGCAGTCAGAAGGCTGGGAGAATAATTTCATATTTCTGCCTCCTTCTGCTCCTGTTCCCACCTTCTCTCCAAAGGAGGACAAAAGTCAGTGGTTCAGTATCTGAGGCCCCTTCTGAGGAGGCAGAGGTCCCAGGTCTCTGCCTCTAGCCATGTGGTAAGGCCCTGACCACATTCCCCACGCGGCTCAGCTAGAAAGGTCGGCTCTGTCAGTCACACGGCCTCTCCCAGGTCCCCAGGGAAGAAGCTTGGGAACAGTCTGGCCCTGTGTGTGCAGCACCCTGGCAAGGGACCAGCGTGAGGCCCTTCCTGCCCTTGCAGGGAGCCATCTGTGAACTCCCAGCGGGTCACAAGTTCAGGAGCCAGCCCTCTGATGTAGTGCCCTCCTCAGCCACCTACGCAGGCATAGGCTCCAAGCTCCAGGCCGGTCTCCAGCCCTCCAGTGCACTCACTCTCCTCCTCCCTTTCAGGGTTTGCAAGCTCTTGGACTGAATGCCTATAAGAGGCAAGGCTGCTGGATGTCCATAGCACACCCGCCTCGGCTCAGGGATACGCAGTGGGCATGCCACCCCGGGCCAACTCTGTGGAGCTGCTAGGTGGGCAACAGAGCAGTGGCTTCACAGTGCTCACCTACTACTGTCCCTGGACAGTGGCCAGTTCCATGAGCACTGTGGGTAAGTTCAGTTTGATGCTACGGGGGTTCCACTGCACCCCTCCGGCCTGCCTGGCTAAGCTCCTGTTTCTCTCTGTGCCTTCCCATCCGTGAAAGGAGACCAGAGCCACCCCTTCTCAGGGGGCTGTTGTGAGGGTTCCAAAGGCAATCCAAGAGATTAGAAAACTACGTCTACCTGAGTTCCATCCTTGGAACAAATGAGAAAGGAGAAGAAACAACCCTGAGCTCCACACATTGGCCTCCACGAACGGCCGCTAAGGGAGTAAATAAATAATAAAGGCAGAAAATAGCCTGGCACACAGGAAGTACCTATGAACTGTGAGAGGCTGGTTCCCTGGCATGAGCAGCAGAGAAGCCCAGACACTAAGGAGGGGGCAGAAGATGAAGCTGCTGCCCTCACCCCTGCGCAGGGTCCCCCTCCTTCTTCCTTGCACAGTGGAGTTCTGTCTCCTCGCGGTCGTGTTTAGACGGGCCGTTGGAATGTTCTTCCTGCACCGAGGAGAGCCCACATTACCTCCCGCGCCCACCTTGACAAGAGTCAGACTAAATTCCTAACTAGAATGACAGCGAGGAGTGGACACGTGACTGGGTTTCACCAATCAAAGGAGTTCACAGAAGACCTTGTCCGAAGCCAAAACTGGAGGCCCCTGGGGACAACGTTCTCTCTCCGCAGTCTTACACTTTCCCAGAGAAGGTGCTGTACTCACCGCGAAAACGACAAGCTGGAATCCTAACTCTCAGCACCCCAGAAGGCATCTTTACAGGGAAACGGTCCTGAGGAAAGATCAGGTCAGGATGAGGTCACTAACGCGTGCTTTGATGCGATGACTGTGTGTGTCCTTATAAAACAAAGAAAAATTTGGTGGTGGCTGGGTGTGGTGGCTCATGCCTTTAATCCCAGCCCTCAGGAGACAGAGGTAGGTGGATCTCTGAGTTCGAGACCAGCCTGGTCTACAAAGTGAGTTCCAGGACAGCCAGGGCTACACAGAGAAACCCTGTCTCAAACAAAACAAAACAAAACAAAACAAAACAAAACAAAACAAAACAAAGAACAACAATAATTCAGGTAGAGTTGAACACAAAGGCAGGAAGGCGTCTTGAGAAGATGCTGCAGAGGTCTGGGTAATGCTTCCACAAGCCAAGGAAGTCCATACCCTAGGGCACCAGGAGCTCCCAGAAAGGCATTGAATAGATCCTCCCACACTGCCCAGTGACCATGCAGACAACGGCCCACAGAACTGCTGGACAGCGTTTCTTTTCTGTGAGCCAGCTGGACAGAGAACTGGTGAGGCCCACGGTAGCAAACCAGTACGGGAAGAATCGCATCTTTTCAAAGGTGAGTCCCAGAGAGCTGGCTGCCAAGGGTTTTGTTTACTGGGCCATAGCTGGAGCCCAAGAAAGATCTGTGCAGGGGCTGGGGCAGTGGCTCAGCAGCTGGAAGCACCGGCTGCTCTTCTGGAGGCCTTGCATCCACACGGCAGTTCACAACCATCTGTAACTCCAGTGCCAGTGAATCTGATGCCCTCTTCTGGCTTCTGTAGGCACAGGGCACACACATGGCATAGACACACGTGCAGGCAAAAACACCCCTACACATAAAAGTAAATAAATTTTTTTTAAAAAATAAAGGTTTGTTCAATAACTGTCTCTTCTGTAGTTCAAGCAGCCAAACGTGCAGGATAGACGGAGGCCACAGGGGTCAGACATCCTGCCCCATTAGGAATCCGGGGAGGAACTGCACCAGCCACTCCCGAGGTGCATGCTGCTGGCATCAGAGATAATCCCAACTGTGTGGCACCAGGCTCTGGTGGATGACTTCCGCTCATACAGCTTGGAGGTGAGAACTGAGACCTGAGCTGTCTTGTTCCAACTCTTTCACCTGGGAACAAAACATCATAAGGTCCACAGAGGGTCAAGCGACCTCCTGAGCAGTCCGTTCCCACGGGCACCCAGAGGATGCTGAGACATAGCCTACTTTCTTTGAGTCCTAGCTTAATTCTCTGCGACAAAGGCTTGAAGTAGGAGAGAAGACTAGGTGTAGTTTGATAGTCTCTCATGTGGATCTGAGCAGGCACAGATAGATAATGAGAGCGAAAGACAGACAGACTGACAGACACTGGAGAGATGTTGGGGTGTAGAAACTAGAAGGCTCTCTCCAGAGGCGAGAAAAAATAACTACCCATGCCCTTCAAGAGAAGTTGTCTACTTGGCCTCTCCCCATTTTCATGTGAAGGCCAGCTCTTAGGAAGGACAGACACCATCCAGATGGGTCACTGGGAGTCCACAAGCCCCGCCCACCACAAGTCAAACCACAGACCACACCCAGGCCTGGCTGGGAATGGGCATCTTTTATGTTAAGAAATATGAGCCTCCAGGATTCCACATGAGTCTAGGAGTGTCCTCACAGAGAGCCCTTTGTGCCTGGGAGAGGGGAGGCCTGTTAATTCTGGCAGGTGTCCAGGCATTGCCTACTTCCTACTACCACGTCCTGGGGCTCCCCACCTTTCCTTTCCTTTGCACCTCCCTTCCTCCCAGGGCACAGACAGCCACCCTGCCGAGGGCAGGAACTCAGGAGGAAACCTAGCTCTGATGGAACCACGAGAGAGTCCCAGGCTGGAGGCTGAGAACAGGGCTCAGGGGACAGCCAGGCTGAGGGAGCTGGAAGTAGAGGAGAGGCCACGGCTGGGTCAGGTCAGAGCAGGAGTGGAGTGGAGCTGCTCTGTGGCAGGCAACACCTTCCAGTTCGTTCTGCCTGGGAAGAGAGTGGAATAGAGAGAGATGTGGCTTGTTGCTGGGAGACACCATCACTAAAGGTCCACAATTATAATTGCAACTGTTCTTGTTTCTTATAAAAATTAAATTAAAAAGCCCACAAGAATCCCAGGCTTGTCAGTCTTCCTCCCCCATGGTCGGCTTCTATTATGAATCCGCAGCATCTTCTGCCGAGAGCTAATTACACATTGAGTGAAAGACGCAGACCTTCCTTTAACAAATTTTCCTTCTGGGTGAGCTCTAACCTCTCTGCTCCTTCCGCTGCTCCCCATCCCCCAACGCGGAAAGGATGGACTTGCCTGACCTCAGGCCCTCGGCTACTTGGAGCCTGCCTCTCCCTGCTGGATGCCTGGGGCTGCCTGCTGCTGAGCAGAGCTTTTCTCCCAGGCCAGCCCTCACTTTCCACCCCTAGGAGGTTCCACCCCTGCCTTGGCTCACAACCAACCACAGACAGTAACTGTCACCTGCATCCACCCAGCACTGGGCCCCTCCACAGCCTGATCCTCAGGTTCTCAAGGAGAGAAAGGGGTACCGATCACCTCCTGAAAGCCCAGGGATGGAATGTGACCCCTTCTTCCAGGAGGTTCCAGGAAGAGCTTGTTCTTGTGCCTTGTTTTCATCCCCCGCCCCCTGCATTGCTCCACATGATTACAGACATTGCCGTTCCCAGGATGGCTCAGTTTTTCTCCTAAGAAGCTATGAGCAACTCTGGAAACAGGAAGTAGTGTGGGCTAATGCCTTGAACCCCTGCCCTCTGTGGTATTGAATTTCACCTACTTAGGAGACAGCTAATTGTGTGACTGTTGGGACATCTCTGAGCTTGTTACAGCTGTTCTGGGGCTTGACAAGTCACAGCATCTCAGACCTGGAAGGTCCTTCTAGGCCACCCCTTTCCTGAGCCAGAGTGCAGCTGAAAATGAAGAATCCCATGTCCCAGATATCACTTCCCTGGGCCCCTCAACAAAGGTGGACTAAAGGGAATCACATCGTAGCTTAATCTAAGCCCTTGGATGGCCAAAACAGGGAGGTCACAAATTTGAGGCCAACTCTGGCAGTTTAGCAATCTCTTGTTTGGAGAGAAAAAAAAGAAAAAAGAGAAGAAAGCCAGGTACCAGGGAGATGGCTCAGCACTGGTGTGGGAGGTCATTCTATGCATTACTTTTATTAGTTAATGAATAAAGAAACTGTCTTGGTCTGTGATAGGGCAAAAGACCAGAGCTAGGCGGGGAAAACTAAGCTGAATGCTGGGAGAAAGGAGGCAGGATCAGCGGACAGAACTTTTCCTGCCATTGCCACATATGAATACACAGATTAATAGAAATGGGTTAGATTAATATGTAAGAGTTAGCCAATAATAAGCTAGAGCTAATGGGCCAAGCCGTGATTTAATTAGTACAGTTTCTGTGTGGTTATTTCAGAGCTGAGCAGCCGGGAACTAACAAGTGGCTCTCTCCCTCCAACACAGCATCATCAGCATCAAATAAGCATCACACACACACACACACACACACACACACACACACACACACCCGTTATTATTATAAAGAAGTTTTAATAAAATTCAGCATGGGGATGTATTGCACGTCTATAATCTTAGTGTTCAGAGGCTGTGGCAAGAAAATTGCCATGAGTTTGGGGCCAGCCTGAGCTAACTAATGAGTCCTAAGCCATCTAAAGAAAAATGACTGTCTATAACTGTCAACCACCTGTGTACAGAATGCTCACCTTTTCAAAGACCTCACCAAGAACTGACTTTATAAAAAGAGTGATTTCTCTGATTATTTGCTCTCTCTTCAAAGTCAGTTCAGGGTGTTGGAAGAATTCAAGGACAAACTGGAACAGAGCTCAGTGGTAGAATGACCATCCAGCCACCATGTGCAGGCCCTGGGCTTGATACCCAGCATGGAGGAGGGAGGTTGGGCACTGTGAACGAGACACAGGACCTTCACCCCAGCATCTGGAAAGGACCAGAGGGTGTAAATGGTGGTGGGGGCACACCGGAGGGCTGGTGAATGTGTTGTCTATAGCCTCTCACAGGGGGGCTGCAGTCACTTTTCTTTCTTCTCTTGGTGGGGGTTATCTTCTTATTGAGCCAATTATTCTCTGTGTGGGTGCGTGTTCCATTGCATATACACAGAGGCCAGAGAAAGACGTCAGGTGTCCTGCACTATCCCTTTTTGTCATAGTCCCTTGTGAAGAGTCTCTCACTGGATCTGCAGTGACAGGCTGGCAGTCAGCAATTCCCAACGCCTAGCTCTACATCTGGAAAACCTGGAGTTACTGGTGCATGCAACCACACCCTGTTTTTCTTCCTTCCTTCCTTCCTTCCTTCCTTCCTTCCTTCCTTCCTTCCTTCCTTCCCTTCTCTCCTTTCTTTCTTTCTTTCTTTCTTTCTTTCTTTCTTTCTTTCTTTCTTTCTTTCTTTCTTTCCTGAGACAGAGTTCCTTTGTGTAGCCCTGAACTCACTTTGTAGACCAGGCTAGTCTCAAATTCACAGAGATCTGCCTGGCTCTGCTTCCAGAGTGCTAGGATTAAAGGTGTGTGCCACCACTGCCTGACTGACACCCCGCTTTTTACATGGGTTATGGGGTACAAATTCCACTCCTCATGACTGCAAAGCAAGTCCTGTAACCCATTAAGCCATCAGCTCTCCAGTCTCCTTTTTTTTAATTTTGGAGACAAAATCTTACTATGTAGTGCATGCTGAGTGGACTGAACATAACCTCACTAATTAGGCCAGGTTCACTAAGTGACCATGAACTTACAGTGATCCTCCTAACTCTGCCTCCCAAGCTCTAAGATTGCAGGTGTGCACCATCACACTGATTGTCCATGGTGTGGGGAGGTGGGAGCTCCAATTCAAATATACAAAACCTGTTGAAATGCTAAACCCTGCACCTAGAGCGACGGCTCTGACCTGTAACCCCAGCCCATGGTTGGTGACAGTAAGAGGATCAGGAGTTCTAGGCTTGTCTGGGCACAGAGTAAGTCTCAAAATAAATAAATACATAACAGAGGGACAGAAGATGGATGTAAACTCCCGAGCCCCGGGGCGGAGACTCTGATTTAACCAATATGCAGAACTCTGCGGTATGCACTTTTAAGAAGCATCCTGGGTAATTCTGAACAAGTGGCCACACTATTTCACGTGGCTCCAAACTGCAGCTAAAACAGGAATCAGCTGGACCAACCACAGTTGCTTTCCTCCTCCCAGCCAGAGCTTTCCTGGAATGTATGTTCTAAGAAATTATTTATATTTCTATTTTAAAAATAGCACTAATTTCTTCTGCCTTCATTATAATTAATGTAGCAAGCTTAGAAGGTGCCATAATAAAACACTTGTGACCCTTCACTGAGGGAGGGAGAGATGGTTGGTAACATTATGCTGTTTCTTCCTTACGTGTTTTTATAATAAAGTTGACAACACACTAAATAAATGATTTGATAGCAATGTCTCCTGTATTTTTTTTCACTAGTCACTCTGAGGTCTGCACAATGTCTCCATTAAGTGGATATGCCTTACTTTTATAATCCTTCCCTTGTAGGACATCAAAGTTACTCCCAACAACTAAACAATATTGAGATGAAACATCTTTAGGCATAACATGTTATCAACTTTTTGTTAGGTATTTGCTTTGTTTTTTGAGACATGGTCCCAAGTAGCCCAGGTTAGCCTAGAACTTGCTGAAGATGTCCTGACAGGCCTGCCTTTACTTCCCAAGTGGTACAAGGCTATGCCTAGTTTTTACAGTGTTGGGGGTTGAAACCAATGTTTTGTATACATTAGGCAAGTACTCCACTGAGATATAGTTCTAGCCCTGTTTGCTCATTCTTTGAGACAGTTTCAAGAAGACCAAGCTAGCCTTGAACTCACTATATAACTGAGGCTAACACTGAACTCCTGATCCTCTGCCTCTGCCTCCTGAGTCCTGAAATTACAGGTCACATGCCATCATGCCTGCTGTTTTATCAAATTACTTCGTAAAGTTAACTTTTTCTTTTTTTTTACAAGAATAAAAAAATCGAGGGGCTGGAGAAATGGCTCAGTGGTTAAGAGCATTGCCTGCTCTTCCAAAGGTCCTGAGTTCAATTCCCAGTAACCACATGGTAGCTCACAACCATCTGTAATGGCATCTGGTGCCCTCTTCTGGCCTGCAGACATACACACAGACAGAACATTGTATACATAATAAATAAATAAATATTTTTAAAAAAATAAAAAATAAAAAAATCGAATCTAGGGCATTGAACATGCCAAGCAAGTATCCTACCACTGGATCATATCCTTGGTCATTATTAATGTTTCTTTTTTCTTTTTCCTTTTTTGCTTCATTTAGATGGAAATGTGTTGACCGAGGTTTCTGTCCTGCCCAGTCCTGCAGTCATTCAGTACCAAAGAAACACACAGAGGTCTACATTAATCATAAACTAGTAGCTCCGGCTTCTTAACTCTTACATCCTACATTAATCCATAATTCTTGTCTGTGCTAGCCACGTGGCTTGGTACCTTTTATCAGCAAGGCATTCTCATCTTGCTTCCTCTGTGTCTGGGTGACAACTGCAGACTGCCTTTCCTCTTCCCAGAATTCTCCAGTTCTTGTCACCCCAACTCTATTTCCTGCCTGGTCGCCCTGCCTATACTTCCTGCCTGGCTACTGGCCAATTAGCATTTTATTAAAGCAACAAAACTGACAAATCTTTACAGGGCACAAGACCATTGTCCCAGAGCAGAAAAGGATCACTGAGTCAAAGATGTGACTCTGGGCTGGGGACATAACTCAGCAGTTGAATACTTACCAAGTATGTGCAAGGACCTAGGCTCACTTCCCCAGCGCTAAAGAAAAGCGGGGTAGGGGATGTTTTAGAGGCTCCTGGTAGACATACCACCAACTTCCGGCTCCATTTTGCAGGTTACCCCCATGTCAGCATGAGTACCCCTGTCTGCCACACTCAGTCCACAACCTGTTTAAGGTCTGATAAAGGATTTTACTTTAGTCGGTAGCTGAGTGAATGTGTTGTTGACAAAGCAGAGTCTTGCCAAGGACCCCACAGCCTCTGCCTCAGAAGGACGATGAAGACAGTGTGCACAGAAAATGGCCACCATGCCCCACCCCCATGTCTGACCTGAAGATTGTTCTTTTACAGAGACTTCTCCTACCAAGAATAGCCAACCCTGCCTCCTTGAGCCAGCTATGAACCACAAATCATCCCTCCTCCCTTATCTATTGCGACACCCCTGCCTTCTGGTCCTGCTGTAGGCAGTGACTCTGCCTCCCAGGCAGCTATATATCATAAACATGTTGAGGCCAGACCACGTGATCCCAGCTTCCTCTCTCTCTCTCTCTCTCTCTCTCTCTCTCTCTCTCTCTCTCTCTCTCTTCATTCCTTGCTGCCCCAGTCAGGTCTGTCCCTGGAATAGGAACATCACCAGGCTCCAGATCCCACTATTCACCACATGTGGCTATATCTCACAGGACAAAAAGACACACAAAACCATAAACTCAGTATTTTTTGCTTTGAACTCTTGCATTAAACACAATAAGGCATCAGGCTCTTACAGCCCTCGTACATTAACGCCTTCTTTTAGTGGTTCTTGTATAACTTGTGCCTGTCAGGGCCACAGCCACCTTTGTCAATGGGTGTTAGTCTGGTGGGTCTAGTCTCCGGGTTAGGTAGCCTGGGAGCGTTGAGTGGAACAGGCTGTGCATTCTTAAATGGCTCACTTCTCCTCAAATGCTGGTCTCCTAGTGATGGCTTCACAAAGGTCATTCCATGTGGTCAGCCTTCTCCATCCTGAGCAGACTTAAAGCTGAAGACAGCCCTCCCTCGTGGTGAGTAGTAGAGCTCTTTCTTGGCATGCATGGGGCTCTGAGTTTGATTCCTGGAACCCCAAATTTAAAAAAGAACCAGTTGAAGTGGGAAGATCCAGCCTAAAAGTGGGTGGTACCAGTCCCTGGGTTTTGGTCTTGAACTGAATACCAAAAGAGACAGTCAAACTCAAGCAGGGACAATGGATACAATGTGACATCTGCTTTCAGACTATGGATACTATGTAACAATCTAACACCATACCATGGATACAAAGTAGCAATTTGCCACCTATTCTATGGATATTATGTAGCAATCTGCCCACTATACCATGGATACTATGTAGCGATTTGCCCCCTATTCTATGGATATTATATAACAATCTGCCCACTATACCATGGATACTATGTAGCAATTTGCCCCTCCACACTATGTAACAACCTGCCTCCATACTATGGATACAATGTGATAACCTGCTATCAGACTATAGATACAATGTAGCAAACTGCTTCCAGACTATGGATACAATGTAGCAAACTGCTTCCAGACTATCGATACCCCATTTCCATTCATCTATGTTTTGCCATGTGTCTCATGGCTTTACCTGTGCTTTAATACATCTTGCTCTTCTAGAGACTGGCTGGCATCTCTCCCTCTCTGCCCTTCCTTCTCCCTGTATTCAGTTTGGCTTTTTTGCCTCACTATATTCTGCACCACTATAAGTCAAAGCAGCTTGTATTATCAACCAATGAGAGCAATGTATATTCACAGCATACAGAAGGGCTAGCCCATAGCACTCTTCCAAGTGCTGAGATGATAGGCATGTATATAAAACCAAACCTGGTTTATGTGGTGCTGGGGATCAAATCTAAAGATTCATGCACGTAGCAAACATTTTACCAACTGAGCTATAACCCAGCTGCATGGGTAGTTTTTAAGCAATTCTTAACTAAGTTGTCCACTTGGTCTCACTGACCTTTTCTGGTCTCACTAGAGTTTTTTTTTTTTTTTTTTTTTTTTTTTTCAATTTTTTTTTTTTTTTTTTTTTTTTTTTGACAGTTTCTCTGTGTAACAGCCCCAGCTGCGACACCTGCACCATGCAGAACCATGACTAGGCAAGGGTCTGGGGATTAAAGAACACAGAGACATGGGTCACTCTTGAAGCAATGATGCCAATTTTACTGTGTTCCAGGGAAGCTTATATAGAGCTCGCCTTGATTAGTGGCTAAGCCCTCACTCTCAGGATTTTCTACTGCAAGTCCACCAGAAACCACTCCCATGTTATCAGGAAGGAACTCGTGAGGGTTTTGTGCTCAGAGCAGCTGCAAGCACAGGAAAACAAGTTGTTTACTCCAGCAGGTAAGAGGTCATAGAAAGTTCAGGGTCTAAGAGTCTACAGCCCCTAACACCCAGCTGTGTAGACCAGGCTGGCTTCAAATTCACAGAGATCTGCCTGCCTCTGCCTCTCGAGTGCTGGGATTAAAGGTGTGTGCTGCCACCACCTGGTTCTCACTAGATCTTTTACAAGGTAGATGACTGAGATAATACATACTTGGGGGTTGGAAAGATGATGGCTCAGTGGTTAAAAGCACTAGCTGTTCTTCCAGAGAACCCATTAATTGATTTCCAGCGCCCACATGGCATTTAATAATCATGGGCAACTCCTGTCCCAGGGAATCTAATGCCCTCTTCTGGCCTCAGCAGGCACCAAGCACAATAGAGATAGGCCAGCAAAACACCCACAAACATGACAAATATTTCTTTAAATATATATGTATACACACACACACACACACACACACATTTGGCCAGGCATTGGCTCCCTGCCCTGGTTTCGACCACAAAAAGGTGCCAAGGCTCTTCAATCTGACTGACCATTGGGGCTGCCAAGAAGTGGAGCTGGGCTATTTGGTCAGACAAGGAAGAGCTGGTGTCAGAAGTCAAGATAAGGCTGCCTTGGAAGCGGTCACAGCAAACAGGAAGCCCTGTCAGACACAAAGGTTGCTCCCGAGGCCAGATGTGGACCGAGGTGCAAGAGGTGGGCAGAGCTGGCAGCTCACACGCACTTCCTCCAGGACCAGCAGATTAAGTTCTCGCTTCTTAGGGCCTCTGGGTAGTAGGGACAACCAGGGCAAGCCAGGCACACCAGCAGTCAAGGTGACACTGCCAGAGGAGCAAACAGCTCTACACAGAGGAGACAGGTGTCCCCTGGGCTGGGCCCACGACAGGAGTGGGAGAAACCCTTCTGAAGAGAGCTATGAGTTGTGGAGTCTGGGCCTGGATAACACGGGAGCTACGAGATGTGGAGTCTGTGGTATAAGAGAGCGTGGATTCGGAGCCTGGATAACGTGGAAGCTACGAGCTGTGGAGTCTGTGGTATAAGCAACAGCTGCAGCCCTCTTGCACCTGCCTTCTGCTCCAAAGTGAACACACGCTGCTCCAGCCCACAACACTCCCTGAAGGGCAACCACACAGGCCTGGGGCCTCAACCATGACCACTTTCAAGCCCCACATCCTTGGCCACTATTTCATCCTCTGATGTCACAGGGTTCTGCATCTTGCCCCCAGATCAGCAAATTAGACCCTGTGATTTCCCAAGAGCCTCCATTCTTAACTCTTCTACAGAAAAATTATATTAAAAAAAAAAAAAAAGCACAGGGCTTCCCAGAATGCTTCAGTGCTCTTCCCAGCTGGAGTGGATTGGCAGAAATGAGCTGAGTCTCGATGAGTGTCACGTGGGGCAAGGAGAAGCCCACATGGTCCCTCTCAAAGGCTACCTACCGACAGGATCTCTCTGAAAGCCCAGCCGTTAAGGCGAGACACAGACACCTCCCTCCCCGGCTGGCATCACTTGCTAAGTGGTGGCTCTGGGAAGAAGAGCCAAATCCAGGAAAGAGGCCCAGGATGAACTCCGGCTGGAGGCCCAGTCTTACTCATCCTGGGGTCATGAACGGGTCAAAGAGGTGCCCATGTGCAAAGGAGAAAAACCAAACCTGTAACATCTGCTGCCTTCCGTGTCCTCCTGGAGCCTCCGTAACCTGCCTTCCTGTTTGACCTGGTAAGGAAAAGCTCCCAGAGTTAAAGAAGCTTCCAAAGGCCACGAAGTTCACGGACGGTAGATGTTTCTTATGTTGATTTTTTTTTTTTTTTTTTTAACTGTTGCATCCGTGGCTAGAGAACAGAGCTAGCTGCTGTAGCCTGATGAAGCCGGCACCACCAGCAACGTCTTCAGTTCCCGGAGCTCCAGCTTCGCCCTCCCTGGGCCTCCTGGAAACAGAGCGCCTCTCGGACTGGTTGCTGAGCAGACTCTGAGGCAGTTCGAAGCACCCAGATGCCTAGCCTTGTAGAAGGCTAGATTATTGTACAGTACGTGGGGCTTGGCAATTCACTCTCCCCCATCTTACCCCCAACATGCAACGCCTGAGTACTAGACCTGCGTGTGTAAGCAACCGCTCAACCACCAAGCCACACACCCAGCTTCTGGAAACCTGCTTAGGGATGAAGAATCATGCCCTCCAATGATAATTTAAAAAAAAATACTCTCAGAATTCTTATTTTTTTATGCCTCTCTTTATACCATTACCGCCCAGTTTCATAGGACGTCATCTGCTAACCATTTACTAGGGCTCCGTTAACTCTTAACTTTGACTACACCTCTTTAGCTGAACAAGGGTGCTTCCTCACTTCCCCATCCCAAGTTGACTACAGGGTCTGCCGCTGACCAAGAGTAAGGCGAGGGGCTTAATCAAAGCTGCCCCCATCAAAAGCCTGATTGGAGGCCACGTCTCAGCCCCAAAGCCTGTCCCCGCCCAGGTCGGTACCCTAAGTCTGAGAGAGGTCTCTAGGGAGGTGCAAGTCCTGCTTCTAGAAACTTGGCCCGGGGCCTTTCCCAGCAAGGGCCTCGCCTTCCCTCTCCTCCCGCCCTTGGGGCGGTTCCAGCCTTGCCACCCAGCGCGGGCTGCAGCACGTGGCTGGGGGCGGCGGGCTTCCACTGCGCCCGGCTACCCCGCAGGGTGGCGATGGCCCTCCCTTCTCCCTCGCCCTCGTGACTTCTGGTAAAGGCCCCCGCTCGTCCCCACCCACCTCCGCCCTCCACCGCAGCCCGAGTGGTGCGGGCCGCGCCTCCCCGGGAGGCTGAGCTTTCTCCCGCTCCTGGCAGCAGGCTGCGCTTCGGAAACTGTTGACTCAGAGGGTGGCCTGGCGGCCAGCGTCTGATGTCAGCCTGGAGCCCGGCCGGCCGCGGCGGGGAGGCGAAGGAGAGGCCCGGCGGGCGCAGGAGGCGGAGCGGGTGCGGGCGAGCGGCCCGGTGGGCGCCGTGGGGGCGGCGCTGCAGCGAAGCTGCTCGGCTGCGGCTGCCCGGGCGCCCGTGACTCACGGTGCGTCACTGAGCAGATGCCCGCGGCGGCCGGAGGCTCCCGGCTGCTGCTGACTCATCAGAAAGCTGTGCACGGCCGGGGTGGCTTTGGGGCGCCCGGAGCCGGAAAACCCCCCAAGAAGAGGCTGGGGCGCGGGCGGGCACTGCAGCGGGAAGCCGCATGGCTGGCAGCTGCTCGAGCCACCTGCAGCGCGGCCGCCAGCGAGCGACCGTAGGCTGGACCATCCCCCACCCCTGCCCACACTCCGTGGTTTCCTGTGCCCAGAGGCGGGCAGCGAGTTCCCTCCCAGATGTCGCAGAGCTGTTTCTAGGCGTCCACAACTACTAGGGTGTTACCCGAGGTCACTGGTGTTGCACCCCCCCTCACCCCACCCACCCCGTCTTAAGACTTGGAGGTCTGGGAAGAGCAGGGCGTGCATCAGTACCAGGGACTGGATTCTTTCCTTCCTGACCTTAATCTTACCCTAGCCCTCTCTAGGGAAATACACTGCGGCGGTGGACGCCGCTCGCTGGCTCAAAGCCTGGCTCCAGATCTTTCCTGTCACTGAAGGCTGACCGCAAGGCCCCAGGGCACTCAGGAAATGCAGCCGGGGTCAGAGAATTCTCAGAAAGGGGTGTGGATCTGGGGGAGGTGTCTGCGTAGTGTCCACCCTGTCCTAAACAGGGACAAATTCTCTAGCATTAAAGCTGTGTGAGGCTCCCCGTGCAAGGCTTTCCACCCACGTAGGACAATACTGCAAGATCTGATAAGACCCCACAGGTTTGCAGTTATACGCACAGTGTAACGTGTGCACCGGAGGCAGTCACGGGAAGGGGTGGAGTGGGTACGGAAAACAGTTGCTTAAACCCTAGTGGTCGGGTGTTAGGGTGGGGACATTGGTAGGAATGATTTGGACAGGTGGGAAAAGGCATTCCAAACGCCCTGAGGGACGTCCCCAGACGCCCCGGGGAAGTCTCCAAACAGCAAGCAGTTCCACTTTGCTTGGGAAAGCCCAGAGTATTAGGTGCTCAGCACAGCTGTGACACAGGAGCAGGCCCAGAGGGACCAGGAGGAGATGGTTCTGCTCACTGCTCCGGGCATGCAGCCATGCCCATCCCCAGACACATGGGTCCTGCTCTGTCACATCTGCAGGAGCCTCGCTCGGCCTTGGGTGGCTTTTGATGATTTTGTGTCCGATGCAGAGCCTTTTTAGTCCAGATTTCTCATTCTTTTCCTGTTCCGTCCTTCGGTCACTGTACTGGCCTACACCAACACTTCTCGGTTCACGGTGGGGTTTCCTAGAGTTGCTTTAGAAAACAGTGAAAGAGGAGCTGTAGGAGAGGCGCCCGCCCCCTCCCTTGCCCGGAAATGTGGTTTCACAGAACCGCTGATCGAGACGGTCACCAGCAAGACTGTCTGGATCAGCCCTACACACAGCCTTCAGATTCCTCATCTCTGACAGGCTGCTAAGGATGCTGCAGGCCAACGGGAGCAACTATGTCTTCCCAGGCATCCACCCACCCGGCAGCTGAGGTCAAAGGTTCTAGCAGGAAGCAGAGCAAGAACCAGATGCCCTTTCTTCCTGGTGATACCTACCATGGACCTGTGTGTGTGTGTGTGTGTGTGTGTGAGAGGAGAGAGAGAGAGAGAGAGAGAGAGAGAGAGAGAAGGAGGGAGACAGGAGAGGCAGTAAATCCCCCAAGGCAATGGCAGCCCACGTCACAACATCCCCAACCACACCCACACACACATACCTGGCGGGATACCAAGGTGTAGTTATGGACAGGTGGGGGCTTTGGGTGATAACTGGGAATCTTGAGGTAAATTCACCAGCGGTGATTATTTTCTCCTTGATCCTGGTTTATTACTTGTAACTTTGAAAATTTATCGAGACTCCCAATCTGGGCAAGATTCCTCCCTGAATTTATTTACCACCATCACCACCCAGTTCCTGATCCACGGGGTTTAAGAAAGGCCCTGAAGTCCCATCTAAGGCCTTATATAGCCAGGCTGCTGCAAGGAAAAGGACACCAGGTGACCAGATGTTTTCTCGAAGAAGTGATGTGGCCGGGAGCCTGAGGAGCACTGTAGGAATCATTGACACATAACATTAGAGGACTCGGGGGGGGGGGGTCTGCCAAGGGAGAGGATTTCTCATGAGCCCCAGATCTGGCACTGCCAAGCAGTATAGCTCGTCAGCTGAGGAGACAGACTGAGACGCTGTACCCCACTGCGGCAGCACGTGGCAGAGCTGAGACTGGAATCTGAAACACCAGCATTGAAAGAAACTCGACAACTCCTTAGTGACCTTTGCCTCTAAGGTCTTAGAACTTTGTTCTGCTGTGTGTGCACGTCCGGCTACAGATCCCTAATCATAGGCGTTTGGGTGTTAAAACCAAGAAAACTTGTGGTTGAAAAGCAGCTAACCCATAGCAAAGTGTTTCCTGAGGGTGGGGTAGGGAAGGTAACGGGCAAGCAGGTTTAAGGTCCTTGGGGGAAATGCAGAAGTGGCACCGAATGTTCAATCAGAGGTGGGATTGACTTCCCTGGAAACTGATAGCAGACACACTCTGGTAATTTTGTCATTGGGATTGCCTCCCGGGCCCTTCCCATGTAGCATTAAAAAACTCCTCAGTCTTTAGATCTGCAGGTTGTGGTGGAAGAGCGGGTGGGATGATCCAGGTTCTCATTTTGTAGATTAGGAAATTGAGGAGGGAGTGAGCCTCCGCCCGTCACTAACTTCTGTGTAAACCTACTGCAATGCATGAAGTCATTCTACTCCAATGCAAGAATTCTTACTCGTCCGGTGACTGCGGGCTGGACCGGTGGTGGCCTGGCCCCCATCCCAGGCCAGAGCGGGAAGAGGAACCGAAGGATTGGTCTTGGCGCGTGCACCCGGGGACGCACATTGCAGGAGCTGGGGCGCCCGTTTCCCTTTCCCCTCCTCGGGGAACGCGAACTGCCCCAGGTGCCCCAAAGCCCAGCCTCCCCCTCGCACCCCCGCCCGTTCCTGGCGCGCCCGAGTCTCGGCGGTCACGTCTCCCCATCCGGCTCCAAAGTGCGAGCCAGCTGCGGCCGGGCCAGCCCGTGGGAAGGCTGCGCCGGGGGAGGGCACGGGAGTGGTCCCCAGCCCTGCCGCGCCCGGGTCGGTAGGGGAGAGGTCCCCGCTAGGCAGGCTACGCCCCAGCTTGGCGCTCTCTGGGCGGGAGGGCGGGGAGAGGCGGGGCCGGGGAAGCCTCCAGGCCGCGCCCCGGAGCGCCGCGCGGGGCCCCTGTTGCTGGGGAGAAAAGCGCGTCCGGCCCCGCCCCGAGCCCGTGGGCGGCAGCGCCCTCTGCTGGTGACGCCTCGGAGCTAGGCAGGGACCCCGCCCGGACCTAAGCGGGGAACTGCTGCGGAGGACGTCCTTAATATTGCCATCCTCACAGGGAAAAAGAAGAAGCTATCCGAATTGAAAAATGAGCCGTGTGCGTTGCAGGACATTCTGAAATGTGAAGAAAAAAGTCTTAATACCTTTTTTCTAGAAAAATTTGCAAATTTATATATATGCTTTTGTTTTTTTTATACAGGGTCTTGTTATTGAATTGAGGGACTGTGATTACAGTATTTGCCATCGCAAACTCCTAATTTCTTTAGAAAGAATGCAGACAGTTTGTTTTGGTGATATGGATACTCAAAACATTTAGTTTCTGTAGAAATGGGTCCGTCTTACCCAGCTAACTCCACCGTTTTTACCATTCTTATGTTTCCTACAGGGTTCCCGCGTCCCTGGTTGTGAGTACCCACAAAACTCACAGTGGAATAGCCCACTATGCAGGTTAATTAGAATTTGGACGCCAAATGGATTTGGGACGGAGGACCGCTCACAGTGACATCAGACGACCTGTCCCCTAATGGGGTATGGGACAACACCCTGTAATTAAACACACCAAGTTTCTGTAGCAGAATGGATGACTGTTCACATGGAGTGGACAAGTGGGTGCTGCAGCAGGCTGCATGTCTGGTCAGGGCAAGTGGGTTTTCCAGAGTGTTTCTGCAGCCTGAAGCAGAAGGTCGAGTGGACCAACGCTGGCCCCTGTGCCCACCGACAGGCTGCCGTGAGCAAGTCTGTTGGATTTGCCTCTTTTGTATTCTAGGTCTGCCTGCTGGTGAGATGCTACTTAAGGGCAGGGTTTGGTTCCTTTGGAAGTTTGGCCAGATGCCTTCTCTACCCCCACTGGAGTGTTTTCCTGTCACGTCACCTCGGCTCCACTGCAAGGACTAACCTTGTTCCTGGAGAGCCTACCTGGGGCTTCCGAAGGAGGGCAGCAGTGTGACTTTCCCTTTGCCTGCTAGCTTGGGAGCAGGGACTTCCAGCTCAGTCCCAACTTGAGTTCTCCAAGTCCTGAATTTTCCATCAGCCATTTTCACATCTTGGGGAGGGTCCTGCCATGAATCTTCCAACCTCTGAGGAGCTGAGGGCAGGAAGCTGTTTCTAGACATCCTGCTGGGATTAAAGGCGTGTGCCACCACCGCCCGGCATGTCTGTCAATTCTTTAGGGATAACAGTCCTAGCAGGCTCAGTGACTGGGCATCAAATACCACAGCCACTATTCAGTGCAGGCCTGGGTGTGTATGTGTGTGGTATGTGTAGTGTGTGTGGTGTGAATGTAATGTATGTATGTGTGTGGTTGTGTGGTGTGTGTAGTGTGTATGTATGTGTGTGGTGTGTAGTGTGTGTGGTATGTGGTTGTGTGTAGTGTGTGTGTGTGGTGTGTGTGTGTGGTGTGTGGTTGTGTGTATGTGTGTGGTGTGTATGTGTGTGTATGTGGTTGGTATGTGTGTGGTGTGTGTGTATGTGGAGGCCTACATGCTGCAGCACTCTACAGAGATCAGAGGATATCCTACATCATCTCCTTCCACCATAAAGTCCTGGTCATCATAAAACGCAGGTCATCAGACTTGGTGGCACTGATCCTGTCCGTCCTCTGGTGTCCCCAGTCCCTACTATGGATGGGGACCTCAGTCGGGGATAATCCAGTGCCTGTAACTGCTTGTGTTTCAGATACTCTCTGTGGCTGTGAGAAAACACTATGAAGGTGGCTTCAAGAGGAGAGTTTATTTGGGCCTCCAGTTCCAGAGGCAGACATGGTGCCTGGAGCAGGAAGCTGAGAGCTCACATCCTCAACAGTAAGCACAGAGCAGAGAGTGAACCGGAAGTAGTGTAAAGCTATAGACTCTCACAGCCCGCCCCAGTGACAAACTTTGGCAGGCAAGGACATACCTACCTGTGAACTCCCCA